GTAAGACAGAGGTATTGCTCACTAGCAAATCCCTTCTAGAAATGCCTTGACTGAGAGAAGCCTCCAAGTATTTTTGAGTAAGGAAAAGTGGCTTTTAAGACACGTATAAATTAGGAGCTGAATGAGTTCGGCACACCCGAGTTTGGATAGCCCCCCTGTTTGATAGCCAGCCTGCCAAATTTTCTTTCTCTCTTTCCTTACACAAACCCCCCGAAAAAAGGCCCTTTCACCAAATCATTAAATTCTACAGAGGTGGTCAAGCTAGTCCTGCTTTTCAGGCGTTCGAGAAAGAAAAGGGTCCTTGAAGTTTAGAAGATGCCCAAGGAAAACTCATTGAATGACATCAAAAGAATGAGTTTCCATAGCTGTTGAAGCACGAGAGCCGTGTAGCTGCACAAAGGCGGGTTGGGGCAGTGGGACTGTCCCACTGCTCTATCCCAGCACAATTGGGTCACTGAAATAGGGAATTAATTACCATTGGAGAGTGGGCAGCCCATTCACCACTGGCTGAGTTTTATTAAACGCCAATATAAATAACAAAACAACTCTTGTGGCTGCACTATTCCTACACGCCAAAGGAAGGATTATGTTGGGGATTAACATCTTAAAGTCTATGAGACTTTCTGACTCAAGGCTCGGAGCTGGTAATCGTATTTGTCTCCTGGTTCAGCGATTAGTGCTCTCCCTTGCGCACCTTCGCCTGGATGGCCAATGTCCCTTTTTGCAGGCACTGGGTTTTTCACACAATCGGCTGTTCTTTTCCCCACATCTATAGAAAAGAATAAGAAAACTGAAGCGTGTTCACGCGATCCTCAAGCTTCTTCTCTTCTTCATGGGAAAGGAAGGCACCGGCGGCCTTTTTTCACAAGGGGGGAGAGGAAACCCTCTTGGGGAGGCGGGGGGGGGGGGCCAGGACGGCAAAATCGCTTTGCAGGCCTGCACCTGCCATGCAAATCTGCCGGGAACAATCGGCCCCCAACGAGGGGCTCGTCTGCCCGGGGTGGGGGGACCCAGGGAAGGATGCTGGGGCAGCGCTTATGGGGGAACCCCTCCTCCCTTTGATCCCAAAACCCCGAAAGTGTTAGCACGGCTTGGGATCTGGGGGGCCAGTCCTCATCCTGTCCCTCTCTGCAGCACTTTTCGCTGAGCTCACAGAGGGTTCGGGAAGGACCTGGATTGGGGCACAGGGGACACACACTGCAGCATTTTCCATTTCTCCCCTCCCTAGAGCATCCCGATACTCTGCCGGATTTGGATATATTCCGTCCCCCCCCCATTTAAGAGCAGAACCATCTCACTCACAGGGTTTGCGGGGGCTGCCATAGGGCTGGGTAGCCTGGTGTGGGCAGCCCTGGTACCCCAAACCCTTAGGACACCTCAGGCTGGGTGGGTGTGAGGGAGGCAGAGCAGGGAGGGGTCAGGCCACCCTGTCCCTGCAGCTTTGTCCCCCCTTTCTCCGGGATGTCGCGCCCCCATTCACCTGGGGCAGGCCGGCCATTAACGCCGGCTCTCAACTTGTGAGGTCCACGTGTGGATGGGCTGTGCCCAAAGGTCTCTCAGCAACACAGACCCTAAACTTTTAGGGCTATCGGGTCACCTCAGAGTTCAATCTTCTTACAGCAAACAAAGCCTTTCTGAAGGTCTCCCCCTCTCCCCCACACGAGCTCAGCGTCCTTTATTTCTGGGCTGTGTGATAAGCTTAAATCATTGTGCTCCCATTTCTTGATCGTCGCCTACTTTGGGCTTTTGTTCCCCTAAAGTAGGATTGAGTCTGGCAAAGGGGCTGAAGTTGAACAGTTTGACCCTTGGAGGACAGTTCAGGCAGTGGGCAGCAGTGGCAGCGGCATTCCCGCTCCTGATCCCACTCCCTCTCCCCCCGCTGCCCCCTCTCTCCACCGCTCTCGGCCCTCGCTCTGCCCACAGACCACACAAGCGCCTCCGCAGGGTTGTGAGGACTCGGTCACCTTGTGCTGAGTCCTGAGGAGAAAACTGCTGCATCGCTGGGGCTGGCAATCAAGAACTGGGCTGAACCCAAGAAAGGCACCACAGTGGGTTATGCACCCCCAGCACTGCCTCTGCCTCACCTCTCCGTTGCTTTCCATCGGCAGTGAAAGGACAGAAATCTCAGAAAACAGGGTGGTGACAGAGGGGCAGGCTGGCCCCGTCACAGGTGACTCTGCTTTGAGCTTTAAGCTGCTGAGAAAGAAATAAAGTTCTTTTGTGCCGCTCTCCTGAGATGCCGAGGGGACCCGTGCGTCTCCTGCTTTTCACAAAGGGGCAAGGGGAGCATTAAAATGTCTCACAGAGTCACGGAGATGCTCTAATTGAGGCAGCCGCCTGGCTGCCATCGCTCCCGCAGGGAGTGACACGGGGGCCACCAACTCAGTGGGCAGCGGGAGCGAGGGACTCATTTGCGTGCGAGTTCCTGGTGTGCTCAGCGAGATGTTTGTGGCGATTTTGGCTCTCTCACCTGTTTAAGGCTTCCCTACCAGCTGCAAATAAAATCATGTCCCGAAGCTCGACTCCCCCAAAGTGCCTCAGAGCTGGTGTTTCCACACAGGAAGACAGTGTGCTGGGGTTTTTGTTTTGTATGTCCTCACCATCATTTCTTTGACGAGGCCACGGAGTGACAAAGGGGAAAGGCTTCACATTGACAGAAGGCAGGGTTAGATGGGATATTAGGAAGAAATTCTTCCCTGTGAGGGTGGCGAGGCCCTGGCACAGGTTGCCCAGAGAAGCTGTGGCTGCCCCGTCCCTGGAAGTGTTCAAATCCAGTTTGGACGGGGCTTGGAGCAACCTGGGATAGTGGAAGGTGTTGGAACGAGGAGGGGGTTGGAACGAGATGATCTTTCCAGGTCCCTTCCAACCCAAACCGTTGTTATTTGACAGCACCGAGCAGCTGCATCCCGGGGGGAGCCCCCTACCATCCCCATACCCCGGCAAGCCGCGTATGAACCGCGCACCTTTACCACAGCACCGGCGTCTCCCCAAGAAGACAAAATCTCCCCGGGGGAACGAACGGGGAGGCCAAGGGGAGCTCCCCCATCCCTCGCACCCCTCGCATCCCATTGCCCGGGCGCCGCCGGCTCCGTGGAACTCGAAAGCGGCCGCAAAGGGAGCGGGGCCCCGGGCGCGCGCGTGGCGCGCGGGGCGCGGGGATTGGCCGGCCGCGCCTCGCGCCCCCCCCCCGTCCCCCCCCATTCATTAATAAATTAGCGGCACGCTCCAGCCGAGCGCGAGGCGCCAATGGGGCCCCGACGGGAGGGGGGGGACACGGGGGGGAGCGGG